ACGTCTCATCCGAAGGACGGCGCCTGTTTACAGTATAGTGTCCCCGACACTATACTGGGGCATTAGGACCCACATGGACCACAGGGTGAGCGACCCCCGCAGGCCCCACTAACACCTCTTCCAGCAGCAACCTTAGTTTTTCCCAGGAGGTCTCCCATCCAGGTACTGACCAGGCAATTCTCAAACAGAACAGAACATGAACAAGAGAATGGAAAAAGGAAACCCAGGGAACAACAGATTTTTAAAAAAAACTTTTCGTCTATGACTACTGCACTAATTTAACATGTCCAAAACCTTCTTAGACCAAACCCATCTTAAATAGGATTAATTTAATGTGCAGTGTTTCCACTATATACCAAATGATTTAGAATAGGTGTGAACTGCTTTAATGGGAACTTTCAAATATAGAAAATGCTTCACTAAACAGTTGTTTCAGGGAATGTGTCTATTTTCCATCTCTCCAGTCAAAACTCTAGGTGTCAAAGACCACTGTCCAACAGGTTTTATACATGAAGGTCTCTCTAAATCTCCAGCCTATTTAGAGCAAAGAAGTGCTTCAACTTGCCCGGTTAAGAAAATAATTATTTCAATTAGGTAATCTGGAGATCAGATGGAAGAAAAAAACTAGAAACCCTCTGTTTCTCCAGGACTGGAGTTGTGATCCCCTGAGCCAAAAACAAATCTGAATACCTTACAGTAAACACTTATTATGATATGAAAACAGAAATTTCTAATTAGTAAATCATTTCCTACATCTGGTGCTCATTTAAAAATCTAAGACAAAAACAATAGAAATGGGTTACAATGATGTGGTTTGGGAATTTCAGACGAGGAGACCCCTAAACATTTTAGGACTAATTCAATTAATTATTCGTGTAATTAAATAATTACCCTCTCTGTCATCATGGAGAATTCCTTGATGATATAGCACACAACCTGAGGTTTTATTCATGATGTGTCATCACCTTAAAGTAGAGTTTATGACACATTGCAGACACACAGCTCTCATTGCAACATACACAAATTGTCAAATACTTAATCCGTGTCTCTCTGGGAGTTGTAGGTTGTTGCTGTCTGCTTGTCTTTAAGGAAGCTTATTTAGAATGTTTTGCAAACTACAACACCCACAATTCCGTTCTCAACCCCTTGTAGCTGCAAGTGACGTCATACAAAGCAGCATGGCGGTGAGCGTAGCGTGGTGCAGGGCGAGGAATTTGTATGGTTAGAGAAAAGCTCAGCATATTAATGGATGACATCTCGGCAGTGTGTCAGAAGTCCTGAAAGAAGTGAGTTCTCTTTTTAATTGAAATAGGCCCAAAATCAAAATCCAAAAGAGGTATAACATTTTACCCAGACGTGGGTAGTTTTTTATAGTAATTTTGAATAATCGCTACCGTGTTTTGTTAACTTTATAAAATTCAGATTATTGGTGCAAACAATATGTGTAATTGAAGCGTAATGACAGTTTATAAAATCAAATCAGTACTGCACATAAAGTCGTTTTTCTTCTGTATTCTATCTGTCAGTTCAAAATAAGTCGATGACGTAGGAAATGTGCCTGTGTTTATGTATTGGTGTACGTGGTAGCACGGTCGACCTAAAGCCCCATGAAATATAGAATTTGTTTTATTAAGAAGCACAACTTTTTCACAGTATGGATCACGAAGTGCCTTTTTTCTCCGCGCTCCCCTAAAAACAACGTGAGTAAGCTTGTACAGGCAGAGTGCATGATAGTGTAGTACTGTATGTTAGGTAGGTTGTAAAGCACATTATGTTAATCTTTAATGCTACTAAAGCAGATATTTATTTTTTTATCTTAAGGCGTAAACTGTACATTGTATTTTCAGCCTGCAGTTGTGCGGACATATTTGGAAGTCTGGTAAAAGAGCTGTATACAACGTTTCTGTTAAATTATTTTTGAAGCATTTTCTCCGATGTTGTGGTATATGTTTATTCATTTTTTTGACTTGCTATCCATCCACCTATCCATTTTTTAACCTCTTTATCCAATACAGTGTTGCGGGGAAGCCAAATCCTATACTGGCATGCAGTGGGCACAAGGCAGCCTACTCTCTAGATGGGTTAGGGCAGACACAAACACACACACTCATACCAAGGCCAGGTTTTCCAAGAAGCCAATTAAATTACTATTATGTCTTTGGACTGTGAGAGGAATCCCACTTGAATACAGGGACAGCATGCAAACTCCACACGGACAGCACCCAGGAGTTGAACCCAGGGACCCGGCACTGCAGCTGTGCCTCTGAGCCAACATTGAATATCTTACCTATTCCAGGAGAAAAATAGCTTCTGAAAAGACTTCCCAAAGCTGATAGGCGGGGAGTGTGGTGGATAAAATTGTATCCAAAAACATAAGAATAGTTACAAACAAGGTCTTTCAACCCCTTTTGTTCCTCTGGTGGTTAGTATTTATTGGACCAAGAATCTAATCCAGCTATTCAGCTTCTCAAAGAAACCCAGGAATCGTTATGACTGAATAATTTGTTCCGGACACGCATATCCTCCTGCATATAGAAATTGCATGTAGTTTTTGTTAGAAATTCCTCATAACCTACATTTGTAAATGTGGGTCTTTATTTAATTGTTAATCCCACAATTAATGAGGCTTTTTGGTTGATTTTGTCAATACCTGCAAGGTGTTTCAAGTTTCATTGTAATATCTGTTTAGCACCAAAGATGTTTTGTAATTTGACCAAATGAATGGTTAAAAGGAAGAAGAGACTTTTCAGTCTATCTAGATTGTTTTGTTTTACCAGTGGGTGTTTTACATTCTCTAGGTCATGAGTTTTGTTTACCCTTCTTTGAACGCTCGATAGAGCAGTGTTTTTTGTAACATGGCAAACACAGTATTCTGAGATCGGTCATTAGAGGTCTTGTTAGTGGATCTTTGTCATTTTCATCAGCCATTTTTGTCCCTAGCTATAGATACCTTAGTCTCCCAAAGTTCCTTCACAGAGCAGTACCTTCAGTTTTGTACTAACATTTTGTTACCATTTCATTTTCCTGTCTTCTGTGAAGCCTCAGAGTTTACTTCTCTTTTTGACCAACCAATGGTTCAGGATTGGTCATAAATCTACACATCTTTGGCCTGTAGGTGCATGGCCTTTTGCAATTTCAGTTTCTTCAATCATATGTTAAAGAGCATGAAGAATGAATATGTTGTTGTTAATTTTAATGACAGCTTAGATTAGCATAGTCCCTTATGTCCTAAGATTCCAAAGGTTACATATATACAGTACCAAGGATTCAGCTACTGTATAGCAGCTAAAAGACACAAGTGCTGGAGATGTGCCTGTTCTCATCTTAGTTATTGTGTATAATTTGTTTTGTGTAATAATTTAACAAATGCCTTTATACTGTATGTTGTAATTTATCATGTATAGTGACAATGCTACACTATACAAATGTTCAGCCACTAATAACAATGATGGCTATGTCTTATGCCTATGCTGCAATACAAAAATGAACATGGCCATTGTTAGGTTAACCGTTATTGTCGTAGATTAAATGTTGAGGGTGTACTGACACCATCTGCGTTGACATTTTTAATGGAATTTTTTTGTTCACGCTTCAGAGCTTTATCCAGTCTATGCTGCAGTATGTATGTGACCTGTATTGTACATGTGAAGGAAGCTTCAAGGCTGACAGATATGCGGAGTGGTGGCACTGTGGCTAAGGATCTGCGCCTGTGGCTGGAAGGTTGCCGGTTCAAGTCCCACAGCCGGCAGATGAATCCTACTCTGTTAAGCAAGGCCCTTAACCCCAGCTGCTCCAGGGGCACCATATAAATGGCTGACCCTACACTCTGACCCCAAGCTTCTCTCTGCCTATGTGTCTCATGGAGAGCAAGCTGGGGTATGTGAAAAGACAAATTCGTAATGCAAGAAATTGTATATGGCTAATAAAGTGATCTTATCTTATCCTAATGATTTGTGGGAAAAGTGGTTGAGTTTGTAGAAGAAACAAATGTCTCCAGTGTCCAGCCCCTGTCTTCCCATCCTAAGTAGCAGACACTGAGCAGTAAAATATGAATAAATAACATAGCCGTTTTTACCCCCGCACTATCAAACTGTTAAATTCCCAGCCTCTCTCACTCTCACTCTCACCTATGATCTGAACCTCACAGAGCCTTCTTCCTTTCTTTCTCACCAAAAACCCAAACACACATTGGAAATCTACCTCTACCATACATGTCAAAAGCTCACTCCCCATAATTTCTATCCCTTTATTTTATTCTGTTGATGCATATTTTTGCACATAACCTGTTACCTTTTTGTTGTTTTGCACATTGCATGTTGTTGTTTTTTGCACACTGCCTGTTGTCTCTGTCTTTCTTTTGCTACACAATTGTATTGTTGTTGTTGTTGTTGTTGTTGTTGTTGTTGTTGTTGTTGTTGTTTTTCTCTTTGTACTACTTATGTCCGAGAGCTAGCTAAATAGCATTTCGTTCTACCATATACCATGCATATGAGTGTAATGACAATAAACTTGAACTTGAACTTTAGTTGCAGGTGAATTGCACTGTGGGCATTTTGAGTTTGATGTTTGTGACAGAATAGTACAAGGATGGTGTCTTCTCTCCCAGAATGATGCGAAGATCGAGGATAAGTGTGAGGCCCAATGTCCGGCCTGGGGGTAGAGGCCTCACCACTTCATCTCAGGACCCTAAGCCCTCAGAGGAAACTGCGGCTGAGCCTCAGAAGGCTCCAGAGGAAAGCCAGGAAGCAGGGAAGGAGACCCAAGAGCAAGTCAGCAAGGCTCATCCTGGAGATCCAGGAGACCCGTCACATGATGAAGCTGGACAGAAACCCACTCAGGAAGGACAGCAAATCAGCACCCCCCATAACCTGTGAGTAGTTCACAGCATAACTATATTATGCTTTGCTCTTATATTTTATTATCCCGAAGGGCGCTTGCATGTCCCATAACAGTGCTGAATGATATTGAATATGATTTTAAATGTTCAGATTGACTTACCCACTGGTCCTGAAGTTGTGGGAGATCTCAGCTTTAACAGTTTAAAGGCAGCCCTTGAAAGTAAAATTACTATTAATGAGCTGGAGTGAAAGGAAAGGGTTTTAGCATAGCTGGATTGGAAATTACTTTGTCAGTTACTGTAGGTTATTAAAATTGATTTTTTGTATATAAAAGTTAACCTACTTAGAATATTAGGAAAACCACCAAAGGTGAGCACCAACAATTTGCAGAAACAGTCTTAAATGATAATATTCTTCATGCCTCATTGGGAAAGTAGACTGCAGTGCTATACTGTCCTCATTTATTTGTTTCTCATTAAAATGCTGGATAGGTGTATTATTGTTTGCTTTACATAATCATTTTGTTATGTTTAAAATAGGAATGCAAAGAGTGAAGAGGGTGCAGCCTCTGCTAGCACCAGTTCTCCAGCCGCCACTGTACAAAGAAGAAAACGCTTCTCCGCGATGCCAAACCTCGCCAAGCCCAGAGCAGTTCCTGCCTCGGCCCAACCACGTGCCAGAGCAACGCCCAAGTCACCCCCTGCAAAGCACGTCGCGTCACCTGCTGTCGAGGATAAGGCCCCGACTTCGCCAGAGCGCACGCAGGCAGAGAACGCTCCCCGCAGAACCCTCACGTCGCCAGCCCGACGAAGATCTTCCGGTGGAAAACAGCCAAAGGCCGCAGAAGAAAAATCTGAGGCTTCTGCCTGTTCAAGTCAACCTCTGTCAGCTGGACAAGATAACACAGCTAGTGAAAGTTCACAAAAGCGTACCTTATCCCCAAAAGTCTCACAGGAAAGCACATCTGCAGGGAGCACACAGCAACTGACTGAATCCTCACTTCCTGGTCAGAAAGAATCACAATGCAGCGATTCATCACCAAAAGAACCTTCCCCTAAATCTTCTGTGCCTCTAAATAAGCCAAGCATTTCTTCAGACCGTGAGAGGATCCTAAAAGCCCGGAAACTGAGAGAGCTTCTTCAACAGGAAATTCAAAAAGAGAAAGTGAGTTGTTTGAGCAGGGTGATTGGAATTATGACTCATTTCACGTAAAGCCTTGTGTTTGGGAACTACATGATGGAAACCTTTGAATATAAGTACTTTTAATTGTTGGTATCCCCATATTTGCTTTTTGCATATATATTAAGAATTGCCTTTATTTATTTTTGTTATTGCCACTCGATTCTTAGCACAGCCAATTAAGTGTTTTTGGCTCGCAGCTACAAACCCTGTGATTGCTACTTTTGAGCTATTCACAGGCTTAGTGCCTCATACCAGAGATTCAGTGCCAATTGGTAGTGATGCATGTGTCTCTCATAACTGAAGGCATTCTAGCACTCTAATCCCAACCTGCTCTCAATGGCACAAATAGTGGACCTAATAGTGTGCTTCCTCGAGGAGAGTCCTGATCACAGTGTGCTCATGATATTATGCACATTCAAACTTGTAATCATTGACCTTAACCACTTCTCAAGCAGCTGTCCTTACTGGTTGAGCTTCACTTAAGCCACCTACAGTAGGTTTAATCAATTTGGTTGTTTATCCAAAATAGTGATTTCTTAATGGCCATTTGAACAACTGATAAAAAGTTATGCCAATTGATAAAACACCTGCATTTTGGAGGCAAAACACTTGTGCTCTTCTTTGGAGGAACCAAGTCCATCATAGGACATGCTCTTAACATAATTTTCCCTTCAGCAGTTCAGCAAATATTTAGGAAGCAAAGGAAAAACTCTTTATTGCAATCCACCATATGGTTATATGTGCTGTTCAGTATTGATCTTGTTGTCTTGATTGAGCTAGAATATTATAATAAGGACTGTATTATTAGATTAGCTGGATCTGACTAAGTTTCTCAGAAATTAAACGGAGATACTTGTAAATAATGACAGGAAAGTAGCAGATATATTGAATATTTCACTTAGGAACATACATTTATAAAATACTCATGGTATTTTATCAGTTATACTTAAGGAAACAATATGTTATTCAGAGATCGTTAAAAAAAACTTCCAGCAGTCTCTCAAAATAGGGTTAATACCAACTGACTAGAAAATTGCTAATGTAGTTCACATCTATAAAAAGGGTAAAAACATCAATCCAAACAATTGCAATCCATTATGTCTTCTTTTACATGGAGAAATATGGAAATCACTAAAACCAAAGTAGAGGAGCACCTGTATGGCAATAAGATTCTAAAGGATATTAAGATGGGCCGAATGGCCCTTCTCATTTTCGACAATTATTATGTTTCAGTACATCTACTGCAGTATTTATCATTCACAGCACAGGGGGCACAACCACTAAAAAATATAAGTGTCCAAGTATAGTTAGTAAGAATAGAAATAGGTTTTCAGTTGGAGGTATTAATTTACTGCTACTTCACATCGTAATCACGTCATTGTATCCTGGTAATTCACATCTGCTCTAAATGGGAAATTAACTTTTATTTATTCATCTATTTTCTAAACTGCTTTATCCAGTCCAGGGTGGCGGGGGACACCAGAGCATAACCTGTCAAGCAACAAGCGCAAGGCGGGATACACCCAAGACAGGGATGGGAGTAGTGTCAGTTCCGGGGGTGCTATCTGTGTGTGTTTGTCCATAGACACAAACACATACTGTACACACTCATACCAGGAACAGTTTCACGCAAGCCAGTTAACCTAGAATTATGTCTCTGGACTGTGGGAGGAAACCCGTGTGCAAATAGGGATAAGATCCAAACTCCACTCAGATAGTGCCTACAGAAAGGAACCCAAGGTCTCAGAGCTGCAAGGCAGCAAAGCTAACCACTGTACCACAGTACTGCCCTGTATACTTGACAAAAAAGGTTTCTTTTGGTTACTTCCTTAGAATTGACCTCTCAATGTGTCTTTTAATACATTCAGTGCCAGGTATTTTAAATACAAAGAGGGATCGTAGCTTAGCTCCCAGGATAACATGAGCTAGGGCGGAGAGGTGGCTCTGTGGCTAAGGATCTGTGCCTGTGGCTGGAAGGTTGCTGGTTCGTATCCCGTAGCCGGTAGAGAAATCCTACTCCATTGGGCCCCCGAGCAAGGTCCTTAACCCCAACTGCTCCAGGGGTGCCATATAAATGGCTGGCCCTGCGCTCTGACCCCAAGCTTCTCTCCCTGTCTGTGTGTGTGTGTGTCTCATGGACAGCAAGTTGGGGTATAGGCAAAAAGACAAATTCCTAATACAAGAAATTGTATGCGGCCAGTAAAGTGATCTTACCTTATCAACTGCATACTATTGGTTTCACAATACTCCAGTGCAATCTGAACACCATCATTTCAGCATCACCCTCTGTCTTTAATTACTCTAAACTATGCCTGAATAGAGATTTCTAGTTGAGGCTTTAGATTATTTGGGTCTTTTTAGAGAACAGAATCATGTTAAAATTAACTTGGAAAAGGCAGTTTCATTTATTATCCAGGACTTTAATCCTTGACTCTTGTTCTTGGTTACAGAAACTGAAGAAAGGGAAGGTTCTCACATTTGAAACCCCTGTCCCTCAGGACCGGAGCAAGATGATAATGAGGGACTTCATATACTATTTACCGGAGAGCAATCCAATGAAGTAAGTTTCCTTTTCTGTTTGCTGAAATTTTTTGTGCCCTCAAATGCCGACCTCTCTTCAAAGTTGCCATCATGTTCTGGTCAATATAATAATAATTTCTTACACTTATGTAGCACTTTTCTGGACACTCCACTCAAAGCGCTTTACAGGTAATGGGGACTCCCCTCCACCACCACCAATGTGCAGCCCCACCTGGATGATGTGACGGCAGCCATAGTGCGCCAGAACGCTCACCACACATCAGCTATCAGTGGGGAGGAGAGCAGAGTAATGAAGCCAGTTCATAGATGGGAATTATTAGGAGGCCATGATTGGTAAGGGCCAATGGGAAATTTGGCCAGGACGCCAGGGTTACACCCCTACACTTTTCGAGAGCCACCCTGGGCTTTTTAATGACCACAGAGAGTCAGGACCTCGGTTTTACGTCTCATCGAAGGACGGCGCCTGTTTACAGTATAGTGTCCCCATCACTATACTGGGGCATTAGGACCCACATGGACCGCAGGGTGAGCGCCCCCTGCTGGCCCCACTAACACCTCTTCCAGCCACAACCTTAGTTTTTCCCAGGAGGTCTTCCATCCAGGTACTGACCAGGCTCACACCTGCTGAGCTTCAGTGGGTTTCCAGTTGTGAGTTGCAGAGTGATATGGCTGCTGGCTGATAGGGTTCTGCCTTGCAGATCTTCTTTAAATAAAAATGGGCCAGTTTGACTAAAATAAGTATTTGCAACATTTTTTGGTTTTCATCATCAGGACTAAGCTTTATGCCTAAATGTCAAATGTATTAATATGGATATTCACCCAAATTATTGTTTAATAAGACTGTCCTTTCTTGCATTGCTTAATTTCTCTTGGTTTATCTTTTTTTTTTTTAGTATAGTTAATTTGCTACTTGTCACATATAAATTACTTGGTGCTTCTGGCATATGGTAACATTTTCTGTATCTGGATGTATCTGTGTGTCCTGTGTTTAAATGAGCTCATGTTCAACTTAATAATAGGTCTTCATTAGAGCAAGAACAGAGGCAGACTGAGACTGTGACGACCCTTCCGCCCAACAGAGAGTAAGAAAAGAGTTCTGATGCATTTGCCTCCCATTTGCATTCCTGTATACACTTTTAATTAGAGTAATATCTGATATTTATGTTTAACCCTCTCTTTCTGTATGGTTTTGAGACCATTACATATGTTGTGGGTTATCTTTGCAGATTTGTTTTCATGAAGTGGTTGTGTAATGGGAGCACTGTGCCAAGACATAGATGGCAGTATCAATAAGACTCCTCTGAAAACTAAATAATTATAATTTCATTTCTAATTTGTGCTATAACCACAGGTAATCATAATGAAATAAAAAATGTTTATTTCAGCACATATTTATTTAATTCCACTGTAAGACTGTAGAAAATAAGGCACAATGATGAGTGGTTAAGATTACCAAGCTTGGCCACAGTCTGTCTAATGAGGCTGAGATTGTTGGATTCTCACACTATACACTAAATCCTGCACTGCATGATGTTAATGACACCTTTACCAAAATGATACCATACAGTACCTCTTCAAAGAACTTGTCTGCACTGCAGGAACATTGTTCTACTTATGGTCAGATGTGAAAGCAAACTGGGATTTGACTTTGCTGTTTCTGTATGTTTGTATCTTATTGTGTAAAAAAAAGGGCACCCATCTCTCAGTTCAGAATATTGTTGCACTATCTATTAATCTAGCTATTTATTAATTTACCTTAAATTATATATTCATTTTATACATATTTATAGGATAAATTAATCGGGTATAAAATGATCAGGTAGTGCCACAGTGAGAATTAATATATTGTTTGAACAGAATCCAAGACATTGCTGGATTTTTGGCAGTGCGGGCAGTTGCTGTAGTGGTTCATAATCCTTCTTTTGAACCACAGGCTAATTGCTTTCATATTTCTATTTAATGCATTTTTATTTTATGTTCAGTTCTTTAATTGGCTTTACAACTGTTACAAAATCCAAAACCAAATGTTACCTAAATTGACCAAAAGACAGATCTTTAAGATATGTATAGCAAAGAGGCTTAAATGGGTGACTTGTGTTCAGACCTTCACTGAGGCCCCAGGAGGAAGAAGAGGGGGAGGAGGATGAGGATGAGGATGAGCCTGTCCAGGATGACCAGCTTCTGGTTCCCAGGGTGAAAGTGGCAGAAGACGGCTCACTTATTATTGATGAAGAAAGGTAATGGAAATGTGATTAAACCAGACTGCCATTGAAATTATTTTCTACCAGTCATTGAGTTAATTCTAAACTAGAATTAGAGAGAGAGATGAAGCAATTAAAGCTTTAATGATTGCAAATTAAACTTTATTTTCATTTTTCATTAGAAAATCCAGTATAAATTTAAAAGAAAAAGAAAAACAAGCAGAGTACATGATCCAATGTTTGGCAAACTCTTCTCCTCAAAGGCTACTGGATAATAGATGATCTTCTATATTTGTGACCAGATTTTTCAGATAATTAAAAGGAAGTTATATATATATTTAAGAACAATTATAAATGAAGCATGTAGCATTTGAAAACACAGAATAAATTTAAAGTTTAAAGTATAGTGTTGCACAAATGGTGCAAGATATAAACAGCAAATATTTTATGTAATGCAAAGCACAGTACATTTGCAAAATACTATTGATAAATGAAGTAATATTTGTAAGTATGGTATACTTTCAGATCACCTGAAAAAGTTGGAAGCTAGATTATCAATCTTCTCTAGATGCTTTAATATAGTGAGAAAAATTGAGAAATATAAGAAATTTTAGAAACCATGTGGTCATGTCATTAATATGATACTTTAATCAGAATGGGTCAATAACAGTTAAGGTTTTTAACTTCTTTGTTTAGTGATGCACAGACTTTTTTGTGCTCTGAGTGCGATTACAGTATTAAGCTAGGAGCTCAAAAAAGTGTAGAATACAAAATATAACAGTAGTTTTTCACTTAAATGTAATTTTTGGACTTAAAATGCAATTTGTTATTAATTATGATTATGTAAAGATTTGGGGCATTCCGTGTTTGAGCTCAAGCTACAGAAGAGTTTTGCTAGTTATTGAAATGATCCATTTTGTTTAGTCACCATTTAAACAAGTCTTCCCGTATTTTTCAGTTTGACTGTGGAGGTTTTAAGAGTCAAAGGTCCCAATGTAGTAGAACAGAATGATCCAATTTTTGAGCGTGGGTCTACCACAACCTACTCCAGCTTTAGGAAAGCCAGCTACACGAAGCCCTGGTCCAACAGAGGTGAGAGAATAAGTCACATTCCATTTCCACATCTTCATTAGTATTAGGTTTTAATTAAGTAATTATTGGTCAAAACAAAGTGTCTCTTGCTTTAGAAAATTGTCAAGTTAAACGTAATCTAAAATGATATAAACGGTTCTTTTTTCAACATTGAATACATTATAACTGTATATCTATGATATCGTAAAAAGTCATTGTAATGTTTTTAAGAGACAGACTTTATTAAAAATAAAGTACAGTGTCATGATGACTTAATCTTAATGATTTATATTCACAAGTACAGTATTTGTCCTCTGTTTCTGTTGTTGTTTAGTTTTTGTGTTTGACTGATTTTGAATGTGTACTTCCTGTAATTTTAGAGACAGACATGTTCTTTTTGGCTATCAGCATGGTGGGGACAGATTTCTCAATGATTGGTCAGCTCTTTCCACATAGAGCCAGGACAGAGATCAAAGTAAGAGTTTTTATCTCTTTTATCAGTTACTTCTCTTATGTAAATCAATGATAGATCAATGAATGTCTGCTGTGTGCTCCTTCCTTTTATACTCCAGGCAAACTCAGGCCTCTGTATAGTCCCAGAGACAGTCAAGATACTTCCATCAAATGTTATTGTAGATTTCTTTTATCACTTTTTAAAGGCATTCTTAGAACAAAGACAAATATATTTTTACTCTCTGTAGTACTATTATGATTACAGTATAATATTTTTAATAATTATCCATTACAACATTATCCAATCTGTAAAACATGATTTTATAATATAATATATAATGTATATAATATATAATGTATATAATATACATTATTATATATAATATATATAATATAATTATCGTAATAGTATTTCATTGTACTTAATTATTCATTATACTTAAAGATTTCCAAAATTGTAGTACTGATAGTGCCATTAACAGTTTGAATTGATCATTGAATATTAGTCTGGTAATAACCTTGCATAGAAAGGGAGGTTTATGTAGTATGTGTCACAGTTTGCATGATGTACAATAGACTTGATCAACAGTTGTATGATTATAGATTTTTTATACAATTAAACCATGTGAAATACTGTATGTATTACTCTTTTAGAAACTAGAAAACAATGACACTTTACATTGCTTGAATCCTTGAACAATCATGCATACAGTTAAACGGTAAAGTTTTGTGATAATATATTGTGTTGCACCTGTAGTTTCATGCTGTAATATAAGACATATTTTAAAACATTTGAACAATTTAATATTAAGTATAATGAAGAGAAAATGTGTAAAATAGAGTTATTGGCACAGATTATCATAACATGGTTTCTTATTTATGTCATTTTTGTGTCCATTGTTCTGTGATCAAAATGTTTACCTTATACAGTATATTGATTCTTTTAAAGGGGAAATTCAGAAATAATACTGAGAAAAGGTTTTCAAGGGAAAATGGTGACTAAATTACCGGGGCAAACCTAAAGCCCTGTGGCACTATAGGAACACTCTAGTTTTCTTCATGGATTAATAACCAAAATAAGTTAATAAAATAAAAGAGAACAACAGATAATAGGACAATACAGATGCATAAAATAAATATACATTACATATGTACATTAGATATGGTTAGATACTAAAATAATCCCAGCCATGGATATACGGTACTGTGTTACATTAACATCTATAATTAAATTACAAATCTGGTTTTAGGCAAGCTCGAAATATACAGAGTTTACAAATGCTTTATAATTTGAATCAGCTGACTTCTTAGGTTTGTTATGGATATGTCACTGATTGTGCCTGTATTGTATTGAGACGCTTTTATATTAAGTATAGTAACTGTGAAGGACAGGATAAGCTCTACAGTCAAGATGATGCTAAGCCTTCAAGCCTTGGGAATATCATGTATTGCCTATGACTGGAATTCCCCAGCAGTAAGTTTTCTCTGGTCAGGTTGGGAATATGTGGGCTCCATTTGGGGGGCATTTTCTGTACAGCTGCAACCCCTCAGACCTGTTGTTCACCTGTGAGCTTGTGGTGATGCAGATGAGTGCTGCACCACTCCTCAAAATGATGCTGTCTTAGCTGCAGGCCTTGTGGGAGTTATAGTGCGTGGTGTTCATCCACCTCGTGCTGACTGACATGACTCAATGATAGGCTGAATTGATAGACTGATTTATTCCATGTATTCTATTATTTCACAGAACAAATTCAAGAAAGAAGAACGGACGAACTCCTGGAGGATAGACAAAGCATTTAGTAATGGATTTTAATCCTAAATGCAGCAATAATATAATATGTTTCAATTTTCTTTAACTTTGGCATCCAGACATAATGTTGACCTCCCTATCTCAGTAAACAATGACTTGCATATATTTTGCTTGTTGTTTAGATTTAAGAACAGTTTTCAAGAAGTTGTGTAATGTGTAAATGTGTTTAGTTCCTCGTAATTTTAATTGTTTTAAAATGTGTAGTTTACTTTCTTATGAAGTTTCTAGTTTCTTTTAACAAGCTCTGAAAATTCACCTACTTACATAAAAGCTTTCTGGGTTCTTCTGAGTGGTTGATATAATAATTGTTCAGATATTTCACTGCTAAGCTGGATCTGTTTTCTCACTATGCAGTGCTTCTGTAAATAGTTGATGCGTCGTTATGTTAGCTATGTTTTTGTTTTGATGACATCTTGTAATCAGTACAAGATGGAATGTCTGTCTTGTAAAGAAAACTAAGTGCTCTGACTTTTTTCTCTGATTTTGTATAATAGAACATTATTCGCACATGAATGTACAGTATCAAGTGTCTAGTTATACTCCTGTTGCTGCTGAAGAAAGTTGACCTTTTCCTGCTCATTTGTTCCTAGGACACTGTTTTCGTTGAAAAGTGGATATATTGCATGCGCACTCACACACCACACACAGTGGACAGTACATACACACCAGTTAACGTAGTATGTCTTTGTGAGATGGGAGGAAACTAGAGCACACACAGAAGTCTCATGTGAGCAGAGGCACAATATGCAAACTCTATACAGAATGCACACCAGTCTGGAATTGTATTTAACACCAAACCACCATGCCACCAGAATCATCACACCATGTATAAACGTGAAAGAAACGTTTTTGCTAATTACGGTGGGTTTTTTTTCCGTTACAGGAGAGAAAAGGCCATTTGATATTGATTTCTTCAGCAAACTTCTGGAAAAGGCTCAGATTGAAGATGCGAAGAAGAAGGAAAAACCTAGAAGAAGCAGGAAGAATCTGACAGAGAGTACTTCAGCTAGACCAAGGAGCAAGCGAAAAAGTAAGGAGTTGGGTTAAAGCTGTTTTAGTATATTAAAATTTTTCTGGCCTAGGACGCTGGTAGGTGTCTTAAACAGCTACTGAATGTAATGAGATTCACAGGAAACAAAAACATTTCTTCAGTTTGTAAAAGCAATTCATGGTCTAATAAAAAAGTACCTAATCTGTTTTATGGTTCATACCCAAGGCAGCATCCAGCATCCTTAAAATATCACTTAAACATCTATTATTGTCTTTTCTCTTTCCAAACTTGCACTAGTTATCAGAAATCAGTAATGGCGACATGCTTTCAGCCCTCTAACACTGTCCTGTTTGAAAAATGCTTTTTTTCAAATCATGGGACATTATCACATGGTGTTGGAACCCTTCTCAGGTTTACTGGACTTGCTTTGTTTGTATTGGTGTGCAATAAATTAAACTTTGGAAGGAAAGAAATGTTCGCAAAGCTAGTAATGTGTTGTTTTTCAGAAAAAGTGAGTGACCAGGATAAAGCTGCTGAAGGCAGCTTCCTTGTGTCAGGGTCCGGCAGTGAGGATGAGGAGGGTGACCCGGAGCTGGCTGAGAAGGAAAATGAGGAGTCCTTCAGTGTGCACACAGGTGAGGACGGAGAGAGCAGCCAGGCGGGTCCTGCAGCCAGGAAGAAACGCAAGCACAGGAAGGACGAGGGAGCTGAAGACGCAACTTCTGAAAGGCCTCCGGACACAAAGAAAAGGCAAAGAAAGAGAAAAAAAACATGCGAAGAAGGTACTAAGAGCTGCGTTTACACAGTTTGTTCATTCAGAACTTGGAGTTTGTGTGTACTTGCTTTCTTGCTGATCTTAAACATATTTGGCGTTGACCTTATTTTATTTTTAATTGCAGTTAGTCCAGCCGATACTTATGGTTTTTTCATGGCTAAAATTCAGGACATACTGTACATCTCAAATGTTGTATGCCCTGAAGACAATATGGATCCTGCAGCATTAATTTGTTTTCCTAGTAGGCCCAACAGACATGGAAGTTATTTCCTGTGAAGAGCCTGGAAATGGAGCTGCTGGTGCTGAAGTTATACCTGATGGTGCCAATAGGTAATTTTCTGTCAATAAGAATATTAGTGCTTCGGAATAGAGTAGTAGTAGAGGAGTTTATTGCCATATGTACATGTACACTGGAATTCTTATTTGCGCCAATCTCTCAGGAGATACTCAGTACAGCAGACAACACAGTATGATGGACAATACCACACATTATAAACAGTGTATTACATATGCATGATATTTACTGCAGTTCATATACCTTGCAGATCACAAGAAACAGAAAGCCCTGCGAAGGAAGGAAAGGAATCTCTGATCCAACCAGCTCAGCCCGCAAGACATCGTTCCCAGAAGCCAAAGCCGAAGCTTACACAGAGAAGAGGAGGCAAGAGAGCTGCAGAAGCTTTGGAAACCCCAGGGGCTAAAAGCAGGACTGAAGGCGAACAAGGAACGGAAGGAGGTTCTCCTGACTCCACGGTACATAACCCTATAGTAGCCTCCCTAAATATTTGCACTGGTAGAATTAATAGTGGGGAGCTGTGGGTAACAAGGTTATTTAAAGTGGAACTGCAGTTCTATTTTTATAACAGGCATTAGTGACAGTGAAAGTAAAATGTACACAGTAATGAAGTAATATGTCATATTTACATAACAAAATTGACAAAGTTTGCAGGTATGTGTAGTGCCATATTCTGCACAGAATGAGGCAACCAAACTGCTGGTGAGTTGAAAAGGCCCTATTACATTTTAAACAAGCAGGCTTGTGAATACCGTACATAGGTTTTTGATCCAGTAGAATTATTGCTCTCGACCTTGAGACAGTTTGGCTGACAAATGCAAATCCTTAAATATGCCACTTTGGAACATTTCTGCAGTGAAATGACCGCTTGCATAACCTGCAGTTATTCACGTGTACATCACATTACATTACATTACAGAAACTAGTGAGCAGGAAGGGCAGCTTCACGCAGTTCAGACAAGCTCAAACTCTTGCCTGTGAGACAGCGTAGCAACCATACAGCGCTTTCACAAAGTGCACAATTTGGAATATGTAAAATTTTGCAATATTTCAGTTAATTAATGTTGGTACCGAGATTTCATAATCAGTCTTGAGAATTTGGGACCGCAGTTCCCTTTTAAACATAATTCAGATGCTTGAAGTTCAGTTTAGTTTGGAGATCTCAGTTTTTGATAGCTTTTATTCTTTTTGTTAAGAAAAAAGCCAAATGAAAGCAAAAATCACTTGAATTAACACTTTTCTTTTGTAGCCCATATACAGTACAATATTTAACTTTTGATTACTATTGGCTTGCAGCCATGTAAGTACCAGTGAGCCTGGTCAGTACCTGGATGGGAGACATCCTGGGAAAATCTAAGGTTGCTGCTGGAAGAGATGTTAGTGGGGCCAGCAGGGGGCACTCACCCTGCGGTCCATTTGGGTCCTAATGCCCAGGTATAGGTCCTGACTCTCTGTGGTCATTTAAAATCTCAGGGCGTTTCTCAAAAAGAGTAGGGGTGTAATCCTGGCATCCTGGCCAAATTTCCCATTGGCCCTTACCAATCATGGCCTCCTAATAATCCCCATCTATGAATTGGCTTCATTACTCTGCTCTCCTCCCTACTGATAGCTGATGTGCGGTGAGCGTTCTGCCATTGCACTATATAAGTGTATTATTAATTACGTTGTTGTGCAGAAGGCATATGTACATGTATGTTCATTCAACATTTATTTTAAGTCTTTTCTTGTGGTGTGGTGTGTTGCAGGCAAGCAAAGAACCTGATTCCCAAGGAGCTGGGCATGAGGGTGGTAACTCTAAATCCTCAAAAGGGAAGAAACCCAAAAGAGTGAAAAAACGCACTAATATTTTAGAGTCATCGGACAGTGAGAACCCAGGAGAAGATATGGAAGAGGACCCTGATCTCACTGCTGTGCAGGAGCACATGCTGAACAAACCTACCAGGTAAGATCCTCAAGTATGAATTAGAGATTAGAAATTAGATTGACAGAATGCAGCGTTGCCAATGGATCCTCATATTGTTTCAGATGCTGATCCATGTTGTTCTAGGTTGTAATGTAAATGTTTAAATGGGAGTCCCCGAATTTAAGGAGAGTTGTTCTGTGTCTTGTTTTGTTTTTTTAAAGCTGTCTTCTATGTGGGTTTTGTATAACTGCTGTCTGCTTCTGTTAATATGAAAACAAACAGGGGGACTAGAGTAGATAGTATTCTACTGTTGATAAAGAAAATTGCCTTTGATACTTCTGAGCAATCTTTATGAATAGTTTTTAATGCAGATTCGTCATTCAGTATATACAGTAGTAATGACAATTGTAGACTACTTTTTTAATTCATTAGCTGTCTTAATTTTAATGAGTAGAGACATGTTACCATTTTATCCTAAAATTAGTGTTTTAGACCTCACTTTGAGCTAAATATCCCACTCTACGATTTTTGGGTGGTTTTTTGGTATGAAGGTCAGGAAGAATACCAAAGTTTTCTCAGCAATTGAAGCAGCCCGAGGAGGAGGATAATTCTCCTGTGGCTTCCCCTTCTGCCGTGCCGCCGTCTCCTGAGGACTCTCCCGCTAGTCGGAGAGGCAGGGACCACTCTGCTACCCCCACAAAGGACAAACCCAGCCTAGACCAGAACCAGAAGACCCAAAGATCTGGGAAGGCCAAGCTGGTAACTCTGAGGGCATCTCCGGAGGAGCCTGAGGAAAACGAGGAAGAGGCAGATGAGGGGAGGGCCGAGGAAGACTACTGCTATCCTACAAACCCTGAGGAAGTGAACCAGGCTCCTGTGTTTGTGCCCGCCAGCCTGCGGTCACCTACCATGGTCCCAGTGGAAGTGGAGGAGACTATGGAAGAGGTGACAATGCACGCCCACTTTTTTTTGTACTGTGACGGGGAGTTGTGGAAAAGAATAGCGTTTCTTCCCTTGAAATGTCATTTATTTCTAATGGTTGGTAGAATATAACATCAGATATTTTGGGGATGCATTTGTCTCCATCTTGCTAAAGAGAGACAGAGTTATCATCAAATGCATTCACATAAACATTCACATGCATAATCACCAATTGCAATGAAGCCCTCATGTCATTTCATTTCTTTTTGGATAAAGGGTTCTTCTCACAAAGTTTTTTTATAATACTAAAAGAGAAAGTGAAGTTTTTTTAAATGAATAGCCGTGTTATTGTATGCTATCAGAACAGTAAGCTCTGAATCGAAATCAACTAATTTGTTTATGTTTTAACAAAGAATCAACAAACCACTAAACAATCTGTGAATGTTATCTTTGAGACTTTGTGAGTAAAGCCCTTTCTGGTTATTTGTAATAGTCATTTTGTTTGCTTGTTTCATTTCATTTTCCATAACCCTGCCCTCCAACATTCCTTGTTTCTGCACAGCTTGAGATCTCAGACAGTGTCCCTGATGGACGCTGCTCTCTTGAGAGCGAGCAGACCCACTTCTCTCAGTCATTGTGTGATGAGGCCCTTTGCCGAGCTTCACAAGAGGAGGTTGTAGTTCCTTCTGAAAATCAGTTGGACATATTGGTTGTAAGTGATCAATTAGTTATTTGGATTTCTTACCAGTGAGGTTTGTCTAGCTGACTTGTTGGGGAGTTCTTTATGCCCCATTGTGAACTATTTTCTGATTTTAGTACTGTGGGCATTTTAAAGTGAAAAGAAGTCATCTCCACTTTACAGTCATTTGGTCCACATGTTTTGGGATTAGAAACCAGGCACTTTAGATAACATCTTAAAGTGACATGGTTTTGTTGGGAATTATGTCAATGTAGCTGAACAACATTCCCAACCAGGGGTCAATAGAGACCGTCCAGGAGGACCCGGAAACAAGAGGCAGCCTTTCACTCTAGTAGTCTCATACATTATCATACAGTGACAGCATTTCAGATTTTATACTTCATGTACTTCATAACCGCAGAACCTTGGGAGAGGTGGAAATCTCTTTCTACTTGAAAAGTTTTAAGAAGCTGTTAAAACTGCTAAAAACAGTGTTTGAAGTCATCCTTGAAAGGAATTATCAGATTTTGAATATTTAGACATTTGGGTTATTTAAATCTTCCTACTCCATAATAAATGGGTTAGATTACCAGTTGCCTTCTGGAACGATTTAAAACTTTTGATTTTTTCCTTCTATTTTATGAGTGTTGTTGCAGCAGCTGAAAGTCTATATGAGTAACCATAGAAGAATGATGGTAGTTTCTAACAAAATTGTTTTTTTTCCTTCTTCAGTGCTATGTTAAATACAAAATCACATATACAAATACAAATTAAGTGTGCTGTGAGGCGAGATCTTGTTGAGGCAATGTTTTTTTTTTCTAAAGATGCATTACATTCAGTTCTAAGTTCAAGTGCAGGTTTAGTCCCGCAATTTGTTGTATTAGTGCTGGACAAAACCCTGTAACCTCTCAGCAAATGTGTTATAAAACCTTGATCTGCTTTTGAGATGAGCATTGGGCTATTTTCCTTGCACTTGTCCAGATGGATTTTGCATTAAAGGTGTTGAGGAAAGAAATTGTAAATGCTGACTCTTACTAGTTGCATCTGATTCTTTTTGTAGGATGTGATTGAAATTTTCTCGACAGGATCCGTCTCTGGTAAGTTTTAAGGTTTCTTTTCTTGTGATACTTTAATTATTTCGTCAATATACAGTACTGAGCATCAGAAGACACCTTTCACTTATAATTACAACAAATCTTTTTCATAACATGGGCACTGACTTCTTTATGTAACAGATTTGACAAGTAAATTCATTTGACTTGTAAATATTTGTCATAAGGGTGTGTACCTCAACAGTTACAGGCTAGCAGCATGTTTGGCTACTATTGAAAGCAAAACAAGCAGTACATATGCAACATGTGCTTTTCACCTAGTCTAGACAGGCATTTGCCTGTTCACTGCTCATGGCACCTGGTGTGCCACACATCATCCCAATTTATCCTGTAGATGTTCAGTAAGGTTCAGGTCTGGCAACACAGGACAGCCCTGGCCCAACTGGATTGGGCCCCCAAAAAATGCAGCAAGTATAATACCATGATTTCATCGGGGATCAGTGTGGAAGTCATATAGTCATGTTGCCATCAATCACTATGGTTGAAACAACTAGACACTCTTGTCCAGAGTAACACACTTGAACCTCCCCATTATTTTGTCTGTTTTACACGAGAGTTAGTATTCTAACGTCCATCATGGAAGTCATAACAAAACCGTGACTCACCGCTCAAGAGGACCTTGCACCACTGCTCTTGACTTTGTTTTCCTCCTTCATATTGACTGCACATAGATATTGCTTCATTTCTCTGTTTTTCTTTTTCATCGCTGGGCCTGATATTCTAAAGGTTAAGTCACCTTTGCCCAGTCAGATATCTCACTTTAGTGTTTATTCAACTCTCAGTCATTGTATTACATTCAGTCATAAGTGCTCAATTAATCAAAATGATGCCAAAATATGTAGTTCATGCCCCAGTGTACTTTTTTCTTCTGAAAGCACTTATACAAGAACAGACTGATGTCTTTCATGCTCGTTGTATGTATAGGTTATTTAGACATTTTCTTCAAACATTATAGTCTCTTAATATTTGCTTTTAATTATAGAAGTCCTAAATAAGTCAAATAAGATGCTTTCAGTATTTTGAAAGACATTCTAAAAGCTGTTTACCCATCTGTGTCTCCTGTGCAGAATTCTCAGGTTCTGATAGAGAGAGCAACACTGAGGCTGCACAGACTTTGCTGACAATTAGAAACTCTGAGTTTGTGCCCGCAGAGGCTGATGGGAGAAGCACAGGTGAGAATAATTAAGTTGTTCCTATTGATTGTACTCAGGCAGTAATCGGGTGTTAATACCTGGAACTGCATGTAAACTTGGTCTCAACAGCATACAATAGATTGCTGTAGTATTGGCCAAATTATTAGGGCCTCCTAGGACCATAAGATAAATGTTGTTTATCTTCCCTGGCATCAAAAATTCCCAAATCAAAATCCTGTTGATAAGTGATGCAGCCATCGCTACACTTGCCATTACCCTCCTTCTCCGCAACCCACAGAGGAGGATGATCGTGAAGAAAAATGGGATAGGTCTGTCTTGTGGAATACAAGTGCTTTCAGAGGCCCAGTCTGTTATCTAGTAGAAGTTCATAGAGTTTTGGCTTCTCCCAGCAATGTCCTGATGTTTATGTGTTAATGTGTTGTGTGTATTGCGTGTAGCTCTACTCTACCCTTACCGGGATTCAGTCATGATCACTTGTTGGCTCAGAGCCACACGCAGCAAACTGTTGTGGCAAAAAACCATCTCTTCTGCCTCAGTAGAAATCAGTACTGTCTAAATTTCAGTAGGGTCTCACTCAGTCCTCTGAGCCCTGTAGGTTGAGCAGTAGTTGATCTGTCCAGTTGAGGTTGTTTAGTTTTAGGGTATGAATCTCACAAGCATTTTTATTTTTGTTGCTTCCTTAATATTTTATAAATAGGATTTTGTGCATCTGTGTTGGAATGTCTGTTTTCCGTTTTTTTTCTAGGATCAGAAGATGCCGTCATTGAAGCTTCATGTCAGAGAGTAGAGGAAGAAGAGGAAACCAGTGGGCAGCTTGGTTCAGAACCGACTGAGCAGCCAGACGTCACTGAGGCTCCTCAGGCAGCGGTATGTGACTCCCCTGCTGCTGTGACCCCGTCAGAGACTTCAGACACCACAGCAAGAGCTTCTCCATCAGTGGAGGAGCCCCAAAAAGCGGGAGAAAGTTCAGGCACCGTGAGGTTGGTAATGTTGTTTATTGTGATGGTTGCCTTATCCTTTTTTGGTCTCATTGATGTCATTTTAAAGGTTTATTTAATATTATTATTTGGACAGTATTCACAATTTTCTTTTTCCTTTTCATGTCCATTGTTCTAATATGACACTTGTTTGGCAAAAACAAAAGTAAATCAATCATAGAATTAAAAATTAAAGAATATTGTCCATTCAAATTAGCATAGTTATGCATCTGATGGATATGCAGGTTCTCAAACTGGTTTGCTGAGTAAAGTTAACGGGAATGGGTACCATGGTGGATAAGGTACTTGTTGCATCTGTTCAAATCTCGTTTCATATTTCTTTTCAATGACTGGACTTTATGAGATTAAATATTTTGGGGTCTATGAGCTATTTTGTAACAACGCAGCTTCACATCTTAAGAAAAACTCAAATAGTGTTCTCTTTATTTTTAGTGGTTCTGATGAACAAGAAAGGGCTGCTGGCCCGGCCTCCTCAGCCCAGAATGGAACTCAGCACAGAAGGACGAGGTTCTCAAAGCTTAAACCCAACCTGGTGAGGACAGCTAGAGGTCCACAGGTTCAACCCGTACGGAGTGGAGCACCTCGCATCAGCTGTGGTAGGAATACAAATTAATTTGAATCACTTTTTAATATAGGTGACAAATGGAAGCAAGTAGCATTTCAAGTTTAATTTGTAGAATGTTGTTTAATTTTTTTATTCTTCCCCTTCCCCTTTTTTTCCTTTGATGCTTAAAAAATAATTATAGACTTTGTCCCACACTTTCGTATTTCTTTTTTCTCTCAATGCTAGGTGATGTCCAAATTGCCTGGATTCTGGGTGTGTTTTAGCAGTCACAGTTCAGATTTGACTGTTAGAAAAGCAGTTAATTTTTAAATAGGATATGAATGCCCAGAGTACACACATTTTGTGTATGAAATAAAATGGAATACAGCACTTTCTCTTTACCAGCGACTTGGTATTGAAAAACACATTTCACATTTTCTTCTTTAGACCGCTTAGTTGAGCCTACTCCTGTTGAGTCTGCCCCACAACGCTTAGCTACTGAGGAGAAATCTGTCTCAGACAGTGAAAAGGAGAAAGACATCCCAAGAGAACAGGGTGATACAGAGGCATCAGGTGATGATGTGCAGAAAGAAAAAGACATCTCTAGGTAAGAGATCTAATGAACTACATAATAGCATTTATGTGTCGTATTGAAAGACTATAGACTTCATTATAGTGTATTGTAATTATTAATATGACTTTCACTGTATTTATTTAATAGTAGGTAGATTTAAAATCCAAAGTTAGAGCAGTTATAGAATTGCAAGAAGTCCATACAGTTTAATGAATGAGGTACAGCTTACCTTAGATTTTGAATAAGTGATTGAAGAGAGTAAATGTAACATCTGCACCATATCGCCATTAAATGTATTTCACAAAGAAGGCCGCTAACTTTAGAACTTCGGTGGTCATTGAGAACATTTAATTTTAAACAAAGAATATGTGATGTCACTACATTTTTATCACTACAGTTTACTACATTCTTTCATTCTGTCTGTACAATTTATTGTATTGTATTTATTTATTGTTCTCACTGTTTAGACCCACCCCATTGAAAGTTACTCACTGGCTCAGTGAGCCCACAATATACTACTACTACTGCTGCTTTTGTAATATAACTAATACACTAATACACCTAATCCTAACATTAGAGAAATGGCAGCTGGGAAAATGGAGCACAAAATAACGCAACTGGAA